TCTCCCTTCTGATGTCTCTGTTAGAAGCGTTCCCTGTTTCTATTATACTTGGATAAAACCTTGCTACAGAAAAGCTCCAAGTGGTCAAGCCTCGTCTCTGGCCCCGGATCGAATTCCTCTCCTCCAGAGGCCACAACTCCTGGCGCAGCACACGGCTTGCAACCGCAACCTTTCACCTGCCCAGACCACAGTGGGACCTACAGGAAACTGGGCAGCTGAGTCAGGAAGGGCTGGGTGTCAGCTGGGCCTGGCTGTGAACCCGAGGAAGACCAATTTTAAGAGGAGCCCTCAGCCAGGGAATAAAGTCACACAGGGCCCGGACCGCGGGAGCAGCAGAGATGAGTGCTGGAAGAAGGAGCCTGGGTGAGTGGCTCCATCACGTTCGGGGACAAAGGCTGCATTTGATGAGCAGAGGTAGAGTCCCAGGACCAGAGTAACGGGGCCGTGCCGGGGGTTAGCACTGCAGGCACTGGGCCATCTTGCCTGACTACAAATCCCAGATAAGTTGCTTCTTAGCTGGTGATTTCTCTGCCCCATGACTGAGCTTCTCTGTTCAGTGACTGAATTTCTCTGCCCTGGTTTCTTCAGCTGCAAGATGAGCACAGGGAAGTATGTGTGCTAGTCTCTCAGTCATGTCCGGCTCTTTGCGACCCCGTGGACTGTAGCCTGCCAGGCTCCTCTGTCCATAGGATTCTCCAGGCAAGAATGCTGGAGTGGGTTGCCATTTCTTTCTCCAGGGGATCTTCCTGACCCAAGGATCGAACCCAGGTCTCCCATATCGTAGGCAGCTTCTTTACCATCCGAGCTACTAGGGAAGCCTGTCAGGGTCCTGCGGAGGGTTGGCACACAGTATATACTGGAGGACTATTACTTATTACATTTTATCACCACAGCAAGGATGCACTTGGTACAATAGGGTGATGGTGGGATGGGGGGCATGCGACGAGGAGTGGCTCAGAGTGGGTTTGCTCCAAAGCCTCAGATACTCTAGAGACTCAGAGTCTCGAGAGCAGGACAAAAGCTGAGTGCAGAGCCTGAGGCTGACTCTGACTGCAGGTGGGGGCTCATGGTCTTGAGGCCCACAGGCGCTGTTGCCCAGCATGCCTCGTTACCTTGTAAAGCAGGCAAAGCCAAGAATGGCATTGGTAGGAGCAATTTTAAGAAGCAATAGTGAAAAACGAACAGCTGGTGTGGGCTCTGGAAGACTCAGCTTTGACATATGCCACAGAAGCCTGTGACTGGTCCCAGACTCAGGCTCTGGTGGTAAATGGGGGACATTCGCGACCTATGGGGCCTGGATTCTGAGGATGGAAGGAACGCTGGCTTTTCCAGGCCACGCAGTGCCGGCATGGCTTCACTTGTACGAAAAGGAAGAGGCGTCTCACTGAGTCAGAGCCTGTCCAGCATGCCCATCTCAGGCTCTTTAAAAGCCTGTGCCCCCGCAAACCCCCAGCCAGACCCCCTTCCCCACAGCCCCCCACCCTCGGACTCGAGCCCCTCTCTGGTTCAGACAAGTCGCCTGACAGAAAGATCAAATACTCAGGCGCTGCTCCCATTTGGAACCTACCTTGCATTTTCCCACCTGGAAAATCACTTCTGTGACTTTTGAAACTTAGAATTCTCAGGCGATAACAACTGTTAACTAACTAAGCAATGAGGAACTCCTGGCCTGAGAGCCAGCCGTACACTGGAGACTGCTCTGCTCGAGGTTCAGGCAGATGGCACAGGGCGACAAGGGGGTCTTCTTCGCCCTAAGCAACTGATGTCACTTTGTTCAGCCACCGACCTATTTACCTCTCTCTCCTTCCCTGTCTTCCTGCCTCCCTTCCACCTCTCATCTATCTTCAACTAAGTAGCTATCATCTATCTATTTATCTCTATATACCTGTGTATGTGTATATGTATCTATCAAACATCTACCTACCTATTCATCTTGTTCTTGTTCAGTCTCTCAGTTGTGTCCAACTGTTTGAGACCCCATGGACTGCAGCATGCCAGGCTGCCCTGTCCTTCACTCTCTTCCAGAGTTTGCTCAAATTCATGTCCATTGAATTGATGATGTCATTCAACCATCTCATTCTCTGTCCTCCCCTTCTCCTCCTGCCTTCAATCTTTCCCAGCAGCAGGGTCTTTTCCAATGAGTCGGCTCTTCACATCAGGTGGTCCAAGTATTAGAGCTTCAGCCTCAACATCAGTCCTTCCAATGAATATTCAGGACTGATTTCCTTTAGGATGGACTGTTTGGATCTCCTTGCTCCAAGGGACTCTCAAGAGTCTTCTCCAGCACCACAGTTCAAAAGCATCAATTCTTTGTCGCTCAGCCCCTTTTATGGTCCAACTCTCACATCCATACATGACCAATGGAAAAACCATAGCTTTCACTAGACGGACCTTTCTCAGCAAAGCGATATCTCTGCTTTTTAATATACTGTCCAGGTTGGTCATAACTTTTCTTTCAAGGAGCAAATGTCTTTTAATTTCATGGCTGCAGTCACCATCTGCAGTGATTTTGGAGCCCAAGAAAATAAAAGCTCTTACTGTTTCCATTGTTTCCCCATCTATTTGCCGTGAAGTGATGGGACCAGATGCCATGATCTTAGTTTTCTGAATGTTGAGTTTTAAGCCAACTTTTTCACTCTCCTCTTTCCCCTTCATCAAGAGGCTCTTTAGTTATTCTTTGCTTTCTGCCATAAGGGTGGTATCATCTGCATATCTGAGGTTATTGATATAACCTCAACCTTTATTGATACAAACTGGAAATCTTAATTCCAGTTTGTGCTTCATCCAGCCCAGCATTTCACATGATGTACTCTGCATATAAGTTAAATAAGCAGGGGAACAATACACAGCCTTGATGTACTCCTTTCCTGATTTGGAACCAGTCTGTTGTTCCATGTTCAGTTCTAACTGTTGCTTCTTGACTTGCATACAGATTTCTCAGGAGGCAGGTTGGGTGGTCTGGTATTCCCATCTCTTTCAGAATTTTCCAGTTTGTTGTGATCCACACAGTCAAAGGCTTTGTTGTAGTCAATAGAGCAGAAGTAGATGTTTTTCAGGAACTCTCTTGCTGTTTTGATGATCCAGCAGATGTTGGCAATTTGATCTCTGGTTTCTCTGCCTTTTCTAAATCCAGCTTGAACATCTGGAAGTTCACGGTTCATGTACGGTTGAAGCCTGGCTTGGAGAATTTTGAGCATTACTTTACTAGCGTGAAAGATGAGTGCAATTGTGTGGTAGTTTGAGCATTCTGTGGCATTGCCTTTCTTTGGGATTGGAATGAAAACTGACTTTCCAGTCCTGTGGGCACTGCTGAGTTTTCCAAATTTGCTGGCATATTGAGTGCAGCACTTTCACAGCATCATCTTTTAGGATTTGAAATAGCTCAACCTACCTATGTATCTTTATATTATCTATTTATCTTTCTATTATCTATTATCTCTCTATCAACCAACTGGGGCTTCCCTGGTGGCTCAGATTGTAAAGGATCTGCCTGCAATGTGAGAGACCCAGGGTTCAATCCCTGAGTGGAGAAGATCCCCTCAAAAGCTTTCATGTGCCACCTATGAACTTAATAAGATTAAATTTCTTTAAAAATACTCTGCTATTCATACTTTATAGGAGATATGGGTTTCCCAGGTGGCACAGTGGTAAGGAATCTGTCTGCCCACACAGGAGATGAGGGTTTGATCCCTGGGTAGGGAAGATTCCCTGGAGCAGGAAATGGCTACCCACTCCAGTATTATTTCCTGGAAAATCCCATGGACAGAGGAGCCTGGTAGGCTAGAGTCCATTTGGTTGCAAAGAGTCGGACATAAATGAACACTCACACACACACATCAATCAATTAGCTATCTATATATCTATTATCTATCAATTTTCTATCCATCTATCACCTATCTATTATATATATAACCTCAATCTCCCTATATACCTATAATCTATCTATCTTCTACTGATATCTATCCACCCATTATCTATCTTTCTGTCTCCCTATCTATCTGCCATCCATCTGTCTTTCTTTAATCTTATCTATCTTCTTGCCCATCTTTACATACATCCTCAGTATTTCAGTTAAGTCCCCAGCCTTGCTCTGGGCAATTCTAGGAGGCAGGCACTGCTCCTCACTTACTCCCTTGATGCAGAGCTGACAGGGGAACACGCACAAAGAGGCACTTAATGAATGCTTCTTGATGGTAAAAGTACTGAGGCCAAAAGGTGAAACCGCTGACAGGTTTTGAAGGTCAAAGCCAAGGGACAGTGCGCCGGTGGGAGCCAGGCCAATCATCTGTCTCTCCCAGTCTAATTGGGCATGTCCTCTGCGAGCCCTGAGGGTCGCCTTTTCTAACCCAGCCTTCTCCTCCAAGTACAGAGGGATTTTGGAACCTCATCCATCTGATTGAGCCTAATTAGTTGGGCCTTAGTTTAAACATGACTTTAAGCTTTCGACTCAGCCCAAACTTAGACCAAATCACCTCCACCCCCATCGGCTGGCACCCCTTTCCCCTCTTTCCTTATGCTCTGAAATGTCAGGTGTGAGGGGAGGAAGCGGAGAGCTGAGTGACCAGGCGGTGGAGCGCAGGAGCCTGGCTGCCTCATCACGGGACTTGGAGGAGGTGGGTCAGTTCACAGGAGGAGGGAGGCGCCTTCAGGGATCAAGAGCTACAACTCGGCCTAACACTGAGACACAGGAGCCAGTGGTCTCTGAAGGAGTGAGCGATGGGGTGGGCGGGACTGACCACCGGACCGGTGGGCAGACAGATGGCTGGCTGAGGTAATGGACAGACAGATGGATAAAGGATAAAAGCTGAATCTAACACACAGAATAGAGTCTTCTTCTGAGTAGAACCTATATGAGTCAGTATACTTGGGGGCATCTTTTGGCCCAATACTGGTTTGTCCTGTGTGAACGGTCTCTCAGAGGCTAGAATGACAACACAGCCCACGGTGTTGGCCAGTGAGACGTGAGGAGCCTCGGCAGCAACACGAGGCCCCCACTGCACTCACCTGGCCTCCGCGTCCCTTCCCGGGGCGACCAGTGGCGGCTCCCGTCCTTTCTGGGCTGTTCCGCGCTGCTCTCCCTGCTCTCACCACTGGGGGCCCTGCTGCCGCCTGCGGGCGGAGCGCCCCCTGCATCCACGTCCTCCGTGTTGCCCGCGCCCGGCTGGCCCGCCGCGTTGCAGTCCTTCCGCACTCTGAGGGGAAGAAACGCTTCAGGGATTCTCACCCAAACATGTGTAATTCCCCTAGACGCCCCATCACATCTGTGTCCAAAGCAGGATGGCAGACCACACTGTACTGGCGAGAAGCGATGGAGATGCAGATGGGATGCAGATGGAGGGAGGGGTTTCTGCTCCCCAAACCTCAGTGACTGATAAATGAATACACCCTACCCAGATGAAGAAGCCGCGCGCGCTCCACCATCCACAGGGACCCTCAGCTTTGAGGTCCGACAAAGAGCTCTGTTAGATTCAGGAAAACAACTTAGAATTTGTTCCAACTAACGAGGAACGCTGTTACCACCGGGTGAGAAAACTTATTCGATGAGAGATGAGGGCTGGGGGTGGGATGGGGCAAGGAGGCTGGCTCAAGCCTGGTTCTTGGCTACAGATGTGTAACAAAGACCTGTAACCTCAGCAGCTTTGCAGGGACTCAAACCCAAGTCTCAGCCCGTGGATGGAAGGGCGAGGGAGACAGACTCTCATCTGATGACGTTTCCCATTGAGTCATCATCTGAAACGGCTTATTGAATCAAAGGGTGTGCTGGAGGACATTTGGGCACAGAGATTTTCACCACAGGAAGATCCCTGCAGTAGGGACAGGGATCCCTGGTAGGGACAGTGAGATCCCTACCAGAAGAGGTCCCTACCAGATCCCTACCAGAAGCCTTGGAGCTCGCAGCCCCGCCCCGTCCGGGTAAATAATGCCCTTGCCGTGAAGACCCACCTCAACCACTTGGTTCGGAGCCACGCCCTGATGCTGTCCAAGGTGACCGGTCCGCTCCAGACGTTCTTCAGCTGCCTGTGGGTCCCCAGGTAGGATGTGGTGAGTGGGGAGACATACATGGGGTACCCCAGGGGCTGGTCACAGGAGGAGTTGATCAGGTTCCGAAGGACCTGCTTGTTGTTCTGAATGCTGCCGCGCTCGGGGTTGCGGTTGCGGAGGAAGATGAGCTCCTGTTGCTGCCCCGCCCAAAGGCCGCGGACGCATTCCCTGTTCACCTGCAGTGCGGGGAAGACACGCGGAGGAAAGTGGGTGGTGGGGGCGGTGAGAGAGCGGGGCTGCAGCCTGCTGGGTCTGAGTACCTGCGACCACTATGCTTTGGCCTAAAGCTTTCTTAGTGATGTCTGAACGGCAGCAAGGTGGATATGATGCCATTCTCATGGGGCCATGGAGATCAAATAAAAAGGAAAGAAGGCTTTGTTTCAGCCTGGTGATTTGAAGCTGTATGAAGAGAATCTCTGGGAAGGAAGTTATCAGGTCCAGGAACAGGTTATGGGAGGGAGGTCTGGCATCTTAGAGAATTAGAAAGTCTTTAAGAACAAGCTAGATCCTGACCCCACGCCTGTCTAGCCTAGCAGGACTTTTTGCTAAAGTCATCACCTGCACACCAGCTCTTTGAGTGGGAAAGGGCCCTGGCAGGGATGCACTGCCTGCTGCATGCATGCACCCTGCATGCTGGCCAGCGCTGCCCACTCCCCCTACCCCCGGGGACTGTGGCTTTGGACAGAGGATGCTGGCCCAGGGGCAGGGGTGTCTGTGCCAATCCATGCTACTGTGTTGGGAAAAAAGTTCATTTAGGGGGGCTTCTTTGTTGCTTAATGGTAAAGAATTCACCTGCCAATGTAGGAGACTCAGGTTTGCTCTCTGGTCTGAGAGGATCCCACATATGGAGGAGCAACTAAGCCCATGCCCCACAACTACTGAGCCTACGCTCCAGAGCCCGGGAACTGCAACTCCTGAGCCTGTGCCCTGCAACTGCTGAAGCCTGCGAGCCCTAGAGCCCATCCTCCACAGAAAGGGAAGCCACCCCAATGAGAAGCCCTCGCATACCGCAACTAGAGAAAGCCCATATTGCAGCAAAGACCCAGCACAGCCAAAAGTTAAATCAATGTATATAATAAATTATTTTAAACAAAAAAAGTTCATTCAGGTTTTTCCTGAATGAAAACCCAAATGAACTTGTTGAGCAGCCGTATATTTCTTCTCATGTCCCCCCAGGCGGGAGGCTGGTGGCAGCCCGGAGGGATGGCTCCCGTACCTTGATCACCTTGAAGCTCAGGAAGCTTCTGTGGAGCATGAGCACCTTGTACTCATCCGTACCCTCGTCTACCACGTGCCTCAGGGTCAGCAGCTCCTCCTTGTTGGCCAGCATGGCGCCCCTCCAGGCTGGGTCACCCTCATGGCAGATGACCACTTTCTTCTCAAAGGACTGGATGGCCTCGTAGAGGACTGCTGGGTCTTCATACTCGTCAGGGCAAGTGAACTGGTCCTGGGGAAAGAATTCATCTGTGGGTCGGGAGGACCACAGAGCTGGTCCTGGCTTGCTGTGCACACGGCAATGAGGCCAATGCCTGGTGCAAGGTCAAGTCCACCTCCACATCGCTCAGCCCCCTGAGTGGATGGAAGGCACCTCAGCATTGCAGTGGCCTCACGGCCCAGAGAGCTGGTGGCACAGAAGCCTGGGACTTTTCACTACAATGTGGTGATGTCATTTTCTCCAGCCAGGTCCCCTCTTCCATGCTAGTGGGAGATCCTGATGGCATATCACCATGGGTCCCATCAAAAATAGGCAATGCCTCAATGCTTAGTTGCTGGGCTTCCCGGATGGTGCTAAGGGTAAAGAACCTGACTGCCAGTGCAGGAGACCCAAGAGATGTGGGTTTGATCTCTGGGTTAGGAAGATCCTCTGGAGGAGGAAATGGCAACCCACTCCAGTGTTCTTACCTGGAGAATTCCATGAACAGAGGAGCCTGGAGGGCTACGGTCCATGGGGCCACAGCGTTGAGGGGACTCGACTGAGCACACACCACACCACACACACACACACACACACACACACACACACACACACACTTAGTTACTAAGTCAGAAGCCCATTTGTCAGAATTATGCTGATCAAGGGGACCGTGTTTTTGAAAGGTCAGTTTTTTCCCCTAATGTTTCAGGCTTATACTTAAAAAAAATAAAAAGAATGCTTACCTGATGCAGCTTCAGGGACATCCTGAGAGCTGGGACGACAACTTTGTGCAGCAGGTCGATGTCTGCAAACACCCACTCATCTCGGGCTGTTATCCTGAAGTCACCTTTGAAGAGGGCGTGGAGGCCATAGAGGAAAGAATCCAGGCTGCGAAACAAAGTTTGTTTGTTCACATGGCGCAAAGGTGTTCAGGCCCCTGTCACCCTGAACTGGCCCGAGTCTCCCCTATGACACCCCTATGACTCCCCTGATCTGGCAGGGGTCCCACTGAACACCCGACCTGTGGCCCGTGTTCAGACCGCTGTGACAAATGCCGTAGTGATCATCATCAAGAATAGCTGGTGACATACTGGATCCCGGAGTGTGGGGCTGGAGGTCTTGGGCAGAGCTGGCCTGCCACATCCACAGGCAGAGTGAGTGGAGATGCAGGCCATCTGGCCCAGGAGCCGTGGAAAGGCTCCACTTCTCAGGAGGGAGGCAGGGAGGCCTGGGGAAGAGTCCAGGCTTGTCCTCTCTGTGTTTCCAGATGGCACTTTTGGACTATATGACTCGTAATGAAAATTGGATTCTCTCACCATATGGAGAGAGAAAACGACACCAAGTGAAATCTCAAATTGGCCGTTTAGATTCTCAGAGTACACCAGTCTCCCAATCCCACCCCTTTTGTTAATGACTAGTGGATGAGGCACAATTTGTTGTTGTTGTTCAGTCGCTAACTTGTGTCCAACTCTTTGCGACCTCACGGACTGCAGCACACCAGGCTCCCCTGTCCTTCGCTATCAACTGGAGTTTGTTCAAACTCATGTCCGTTGAGTTGGTGATGCTATCTAACCGTCTCATCCTCTGCTGCCCCCATGATAGAGGGGGTTAAAATGAATGACCAAAGGATTTCTCAGATTGTCCAGGTTTTTATGTTTCTGGGCTTTTCTGCTTTGCCTCCATTTCCTGCGTGTAACTGAGTACTGCCTGGGTGGAGAGCAGAGAGGCACCCAAGGGACACCTTTCACAGTCTGGGCTCATTACCTTTTGGATCAACACACAGTTCAGGAAAGTGATTCATCCTATGTTATGTGGAGGGAAAGAAGTGTTCTTAATTCTTTCCCTCTAGGTCCATTAATACACTTGGCAGCCGCCTCTAATGAGTCTGGCTTCTAACATCCCTGGTGGGACTGGGCGACTACACAAGAAACAGCATCCCGGATAGGATTGAACTGGGACAAAACGATCCAGGAAATGTGTGTGGAAGAGATTCTCTGAGGATGGAGCTGAGGAGGATTTAAACGAGCTGGCTCACCCAACAAGACTTTGGATTCAACACAGAACATTAGGCCCACATGTCGGAGAAATAGTTCCGCTGACTGCTATTGGAGCACGTGATTGCAAAATGCACCACAATCATTAACTTCCTTCGAGAACTCCATTGAGAGGGATGCTGAAGCTCAAGGTCAGAGATGACTGTGGGAAATGGGTCTAGGCAGGTGGGGTGGGTGCCAGCGTCTTGAGGAGCCCAGAGCCTTCCAGGAAGAGTTTCAGGAGGCAGCCATCCTGGATAGGCTGCCCCCACACAGAACAAAGACTTCCTGGGGCTGCCTGCAGTCCTAGGTGGGGATGGGTGGACGGCAGGGCAAGGATGCAACAGGATAGGGCAAGGGAGGGTAGCTTTAAAACAGTGCAAACTGCTGTCATTGAAAACGATCCAAAATGCCTCTGTCATCAGATAGCAGGAAGTACTAAAAAGAGAGCTAAAAGTAGGTGGGGTTTCTTCTAGAAAGGATTAGAAGCATGCCAGGCTGCTAGCCCACAGGTTTAGAGAAACCACTCCTCTAGATGTAGGGCTGAGGACAGTGGCAGAGGGAGATGAAGGGACCTGCTGAGCTGCCCAGGTAGATGCAAGAGAAGAGCCAGGCATTCAGCCCACCCTTTGACAGCGTATGGAAGGCAAGCACAGACCTGATTCCCCAGTCTAGAAAACGCCCTTCCACGGGACCTTGATAAGTGATTGGAGCCCATCTCAGGGCCCTAATGACAGAATGATAGATGCTTTACTGATCATTTCTATTTTCAGAGGAAAATGACACATTGTGAGACTTACTGCTATTACATTGAAACAAGTCTCAATGCACACACCTATCTATGAAATAGAGACAGAATCATGGGGAGAGAGAACAGACTTGTGGTTGCCAAGGGGGAGGGGGTTGGGGGAAGGAAGGACTGGAATTTGGGATTAGCAGATGCAAACTAACATATATATACAAAGAACGGAGAAGCAACAAGGCCTTATTGTATAGCACAGGGAGCTATATTCATTATCTTGTGATAAACTATAATGGAAAAGAATATTAAAAAATAATGTATAGATGTATAATGGAATATACATATACACTTTTCTGTACAGCAGAAGTGAATACATTGTAAGTGAACCATATGTCAATGAAAATTTTTTTAAAAAATGAGTCTCCATGCAGAAAACAAAGCTGAATTAGAATTTCACTAGAATGAGGGTACTTCCCTTAGATTGTGGCACACTCCTAGTACCTCAAAGATACAGGCATCCTAAATATAAGGTGTTTCATTATCTGCCTTTTATCTTCAGGAGACTGAAGAGGAAGAAGGCAGAGATGTGATGAGCGGGGAAGCTCTGAGGAGAGGAGAGGTCTCCAGGTGGCCCCCACACATTTCTGACTTGCAGCATCACCAGGCTTTGTTCTGTTAAGACTACTGAGAGATGACAGGCTCCCACCCCAAGGCCAACAGCTGGAGCAGGGAAACAGGGTTACATCTGAGTTATTCAAGGTTGGCCTTCGTGGGGACTAGAACAGCCAACACTTGGCCCCTGTTATTCATTGAAGTTTTTTTTCCACAAATGTGGTGGCATGTAAGCCTAGGCTCATCTCAGTGCCATGGTCCAGTTCTCTACATGTGGATGTGTGTCTCTAACACATGACTACACTTGGGCCAGTTTTCTTCTGGAGCCTGCCCTGCCCCATCCCCACACAAATGGACAGGGTTGCCCCTGCACTGAGGACTGTCTGGTGACACTCTCTGTGACCAGCCTTCTGCACCTCTTCTGCAATGTTAACCCACAATCCATGCAGTTAGGACTTGCATAACATCTCACCTTTGTAAGCATGTGTACACATGTGTGTGTTCCTGCCTGTGTGTGGCTGCATATTTGTGTGTATATATATGCATGTGTGTATGTGCATGTACATGAGTGCACATTTGTATATGTGTGCGCTTGAGATGAGCACACATTTATGTGTGGTGTGCATGTGTGTGTGTGTGCATGTACAAGGGTGCATGTTTGTATGTGTGCATGTGTGTTGGAAAGGACGATTCAGCTTCTGCTCAGGGTCACTCCACACCCCCAGCAGACACCAACAACCACCAAGCTGAGTCTCTGTGACACTCTGATTGTACTTACTCCTGTTCTTTCTGGTTCCTGACCCTGTTCCCTGTTCTACGATGACATAACCATTGGTGGTGAGTACAGATAAGAGGTTGCAGCTATCGGCACTTAAACACAGATGTACACAACCTTTCTGGTAACAGTCATTTTCTGGCCTGAAGCTCTGGCTGTTGCTTAAAGCCCTGGCAGAAACTCTAGCTCCATGAGGATTATGCTTTAACGGGTCCTGCCCATTTCAGCATCCTCACCCATCACCTTTCACAGAGCAGTGACAACTTGAGAATGGCCAGCTGAAGTGAAGGCCATTTTCACTCCTGTTTCACTGTTCTACGGCATCTTTCTTTATCCACAGAGGAGTCCTCATGGCTCGAGTCTAGCCAGATGTTGCCTATGACCCTACCCAGCTCAGCCCAGTTCTCACCTGCACCCTTTCTCACTGGCTGTCAGTCCATGGAAACTTTGGCCCCCAGGAAACATTTGACAATATCCAGAAACATTCTGGGTGTCACAGCTGTAGGGCAGTGCTCCTGGCACCACGTGGGTAGAGGCCAGGCAGGAACGCCCAGGACAGTCCCCCACAACAAAGAACCACACAACCTAAAATGTGAATAATGCTGCTGCTGAGAAACCTTGCCCATTATGATTAAAGATACAGATTTTAAGTTCAGGACACTAGTTCATTATCTTGGATCCAGTGTTAATGACTCTTGGGATTCAGGTGGAAACAACTCTAATGCTGCGATAGTTTCTGCAGGACTCCCAGTGGACTCTCCAGAAGGATTGATATGTTCAAGTTAATGTCCAAACAGGCTCGTATACTGTATGTTACAGATGGGCATCGTGAAGAGCCTTCTTCTGCGGGGCAGTGTTGTACATGGAGCCCTCGGAGAACATATGCGAACAGCTGTGATTTGCAGGCTGGGTTTCCCATGCTCACTAATTAGTAATGGAGATTCTTAGAGAGTGTGTGCTTGGTTATCTAAGTCAGTATCCTAACTCCGAGAGTGTCTCCACTGTGGGGGAGGCAGCATGCTTCATACATGATTCATTCCTTTGTGGGATCCCACAACCATGCCCTGGTTGCATGGTTGATCCCATCACTCCTGACCAGTAAAGGAGCTGGAAGTACAAAGAGTAATGCATGCAAGAGGGGATGGTCCTTGGTATCAGCATCCTATTGTTGATAAGCTCTTATTGATCACTGTCCAAAAGCAACTCCTTACAACTAATCTTTGAGTTCTTTAAATACAAGATATATTTTCTTCAGGCGAAAATTACTAAGTGTATTTTTTTCTGTGGGATGAATAAAAGATCCTCTTCATTGATCTATTTCTCAGAATTTGTTCAGATTAAGGCTTTTTTTTGTATTTGATTTCAATTTTCTCAGCTTTATTGAGGTGTAATTGACACAATTTTTAAGTATTTAAGAGGTCAAAAATATTAAAATTATAAAAACAAAACCTTATATCCAACTTGAAAGAAAATAAGTAAAATGTACATCATGATGATTTGATAAACACTGTGAAAGGCAGATTAAGACTTTTGGTTTGAGGATTTCAGCTTCCTTTTTAAAAAAGGTTTAAATATAATTTTCAAAAACGGGAGAAATAAGAATTTGTGAACTCTTAAAGGTGTGGTTTTGAAAGATTAATGTTTTATGGGTGGAAGTTAGAGTAGTCTTATTATGTTAAGTATCAGGAAATTTAGTAGTTTGTGTACATGACAGTATTGTAGATAT